TGCGCGTAGCGTACAAATATTGATGGCATATAAGTTGGCGTGGTATAAGGCGTGGTGTACATATATTCGTGACATATAACTATGTGACATACATATAGTGACAAATGGGTGAAGTATACATTATGCGTGGCATACTTGTAAGCGTGCGGGACAGGCATATACTAGTAAGCAAGTGCGCATGCGGGTCAGTGGCTAACTAACTGTTGACATATGTTAATTGGTATACTGTACTACAAGTAAAATAACTACTTACGCCAGAAATACGCCCAGTGCATAGCCACATCGTTTTCGATATAAAAGCCACGGCTCGAAAGGTGCACGTCGTGGGTATTTACCTTCAGCACGCCACACAATGGCTGCAGCCTCGGGGTCAGTGATCATTACCTGCAACACACCAATGTTTTCTCGCCATACTGGACCGATTGTATTACTACGCCAGATCACGTAGTCTGTCAGTTTCGACACACCGCCTTTTCGGAACATGTCGAGGTAGTTGAGGAACTTATTTCTTCTTCCCGGCATCTCACTGAACGGCTTGATCTTGTCATTATTTGTATGATTTGGCTGTTTGGTCGACTGACTCTCGACGTTATTCGCTAAACTCCTCGTCGCTAAGCTATAATGCCAAGGGTACAATGTCCTCAGCGTTGATCTTGTGCCCTTTTCCACTGAACTTACGCTCCGCAATGCCTCTCGTAACATCATGACACTATGACTGGAGTCTTCAATGGACGGCGATGCACCTACGATGGCGTTCAATTGCAAGTACCTTTAGTTTGACCTGACTTCGACCTGCTGGTCGCTCGACGGGTTTATGCAAAAGTTCACGCTTATGGGTCAACCACGACTGCTGATAGAAATGCACTTGAACTTGATAACTGATTATAGCGATACCTTCCAGGGCGTTTAGGCGCTTAAAATGACAGTTTATAATTCCAGGAGGGTATAGGAGCATGGCTCGTGGTATTAGTTGAACGGGAGGTGGTCGTTGTGCATTTAGCACGAATTGTATACTGACGTTGCGCGAGACCCATTTTAAACACGACTCGTTGCGAAGACATCGCCTATTATTTAACGCCTTGAATGTCAAGTTTCACAAAATATATGACCTTCAAAACACAAAATCTACGTGGAGATTAATGAAGCCGTGGAACTAATAAGAGACACGTTTCACAATGAAACCAAACATAGGCATGCATCCCTCGTGTACAAACACGGTTTGGATTCGGAATGTTTTACCATAGACCTAAGAAAACAAGGACATGCAACTTCTGTCTGAGACAAAGGAAAATCCAGTTTTCTGTGTGCAACGTGGGTTATAATCTCCTGTATAGATAATCCCATTAATATATATACATCCGTTTTCTAAGGTCTATGGTTTTACACTTCATAAAAGATTTCGCGGAAGTATGATCCTCCAAAAGTGCAATGAAGTCAAGCGTTTCTTTATAATACATAGATTTGAGGATGAACAAAACAAGAATGAGTCACTTGAATCTGTTTCCATGGAAACAATATATAATGCTCAATCTAAAATGGCGCTCATTTGGTATTATGGTGAAATCCGGGACATGTGTGAATGTCAAACAACAATTAAATTCAAGATTGACGACAATGTCATCATTTGAAAACCATGGTTATTTTACACATGGATTTTTTAAAACTTAAAAAAAAAGTGATTTGCCTAGTTTTAAACCCCAGCAGTCAACAGTTTCGCCAAATATTGAAAGTCCAAAAATAAAGCCGATACAACTATTATGGTATTCAAGTTGGCAATACCAGAAAAGTTGACCCAGTTGACTACTAACTTCAAATGTTTCAAGCCGTCTTTTTCACAAACTTAGGCTTGCTCGTATTTAAAGCGGGAGGGTCGTCACCTGCGCAAGCGCGGGAATTGACTCCCAAGCGACGATAACAACACACGCTAAAAACGCAAAGGCTCATGGGTAGACATTTGTTTGTAAACAATGACTCGCTATGGCATCTGACGCATGCGCAGGTGACGACTCCCCCCCCCCCCGTTTTAAAATATTAAATAAAACAGATCGAAATAAATAAATGTCATCCATTCCAAACAGTTGTTTTCAAAATAGAGAGGATTGCTTGGAT